CAGGCTGTGGCTGTTCAGTGAAGTGCTGGGCTGTGGATGTTCCCAGGCTGTGGCTGTTCAGTGAAGTGCTGGGCTCTGGATGTTCCCAAGGACCTTTCTGAGTGAGGCTTCTCAGCACATCACTGAGAGGAGCCCGAGGTCACAGGATCAGGGAATATCCTGGTTTGGGAGGGACCCACAGGGATCATCCATCCAACCCCTGGCCCTGCACAGACACCCCAACAATCCCCCCTGTCCCTCAGGGTGTTGTCCAAACCCTCCCTGAGCTCTGGCAGCCTTGGGGCCGTGCCCATTCCCTGGGGAGCCTGTTCAGTGCCAACCACCCTCTGGGGAGGAACCTTTTCCTGAGATCCCACCCGACCCTGCCCTGGCACAGCTCAGAGGTGTTCCAACTCCACCTCTCCATTGGTGGAATATTTCCCTTTGAGGTCACACATCAGTGTTTTTCCTCTCCAGGTGAGCTTCATACCCGGAGAAGGTCCAGATGTGTAAAACTGGTGCTTTCAGGGGCCTTTTGTTGTTTTGGCCAACATACAAACTGTTCATGTGAGCCAAGAGCAGACCTTGGTGTCCAGCCTGGCCTTGGACACTTCCAGGGATCCAGGGGCAGCCATGGATCCTCTGGGCAGCCTGTGCCAGGGCCTCTCCACCCTCATAACCAACAATTCCTTCCCAGTCTCCCATCTGTCCCTGCCCTCTGGCACTGGGATCCATTCCCTGTGTCCTGTCCCTCCAGGCCTTGTCCCCAGTCCCTCTCCAGCTCTCCTGGAGCCCCTTTAGGCTCTGGAAGGGGCTCCAAGGTCTCCCTGGATCCTTCCCTTCCCCAGCTGAGCCCCCCCCAGCTCTCCCAGCCTGGCTCCAGAGCAGAGGGGCTCCAGCCCTGGCAGCATCTCCGGGGCCTCCTCTGGACTCTCTGCAGCAGCTCCACGTCCTTGTGCTGCTGTTGCCTAGGGCTGGAGGCAGCTCTGGGGGGGGGTCTCAGCTGAGGGGGCAGAGGGGCAGGATCCCCTCCCTCCTGTGCTCCATGGGACGCTGCCTGAATGTCACAGAGGACGTTGTGTCTGTTCCAGGGGCTCAGAACTTCGATGTCATCCGGCTCTCCACGTACCGAACCGCCTGCAAGCTGCGCTTCGTGCAGAAACGCTGCAACCGTGAGTCCTGGGCACCCCTGGGCTGCAGGCAGGGCTCCTGCATGTCCCACACCCTCACCCCTGCCAGCTCTGGGTGGGCTGGCAGCAAGCACTTTGTCAGGCAGGGGCAGTTGTTACTTTAATGAAACGGAGATTAGGTGTATAGTTAAAAAGAGGCAGCAGTCTTCGTGTGATACTGTATAATCTCTTCGGGTTTGTTCCTTACTGTTCAGAATATTTAAAATGTAAGGGCCAGCACGATGCGTTTCCTTGCCCTCAGTGCTGGGTGCAGGCAGCTGGAGCTGTTTGAGGTGCTGTTCCACCCTGGGGTGCCCCAGAGCAGCTGCCAGCAGGGCACAGGGACAGCCCCTGGGGGAAGGTGTCTGGGTCTGTCCCGGTGGCACTCGTGACATGGAGCAACCATAAAGAATTCTGCATGTTCATACCCCACTGCCAGTGTAAGTTTTCTCCTCCTTTTCCCTGGCCCTGTGAGCGTGGACAGCTCCCCAGAGCAGAGGTGGATCCCAGGGGAGGGGTGGAACACTGCAGACGCTGAAGGAGCTGAGGTGTGCAGGAGCAGATCCCCCCTCCCAGGGCACAGGAGTTGGGGGGTGTGGCACAGGGGAGGCCAGGAGAAGAGCTCAGGTGCCCTGGGGAGGACACAGGTCCCTGCACGTTCCCCCCAGCCCGGGCTGTGTCGTGGGGCTGTGGTGACCATTTGCTGGGTGAGTGGCTCGGAGATTTCCCATCCTGGGCAGAAGTGTTGGTTCCTGGCTGTAGCTCATGGTCCAGGATTGAAAATCTCTCCAGCAGCAGAGAGGTGTTAAGGAATGCTGAGTGTAGGACGTTGCACTGGGCCCAGTTCAGTGCTGCCCTGAGCAGCCTTGGCCATCCCTGGATCTGTGGGTGAGGCTGGGCAGTTGGAGCTGTGGCTGAGACAGGGTGGGGGTCACAGCTTGGCTTCTGTCCTTGTGTGGCTCTTATGTGAGAAATATAGACAAGCTGAATGGAAGAAATGTTCAAGCTCACCCTGAGTTCAAACCCTTTTTTGGGGAGATCCCAGGAGTGGTGAACACACAGGTCTGTCCTCTGTAGCTGCTGGATCACGTTCAGTTTGGGTTGCTGTTGATCCTTAGATGTCTTCTCCACTCTCATGCATGACTTAGAGCTTTGAAACATTTCAAAATACTGTTTAATGTGGTTCTGCAGATTTCCCCAAACTGTGGTTTGGGAAATGTTTTCTCCCCGTGGTTAACACTCCTTAGATGTGTGCTTATATGTGGCAGGGTAATTTGGAAAAATGCTTTGGAGTTCTAGACCTGTGTTGTGCTCAGGTTTTGGCAACTGGATCAACTGGAAATGGTCACAGTTCAGCTGGAACATCAAGTTCCTCCTTCGATACTCTACTAGTCAGCACGAGGCTGTTCCAAATTACTGTAAACAGTTTGTAGGGAATTTAGAATATCGTGGAATCATGGAATGTTTGGGGTTTGGCAGCACCTCAAAGCTCATCCAGCCCCACCCCCTGCCATGGGCAGAGACACCTCCCACCAGCCCAGGGTGCTCCAAGCCCTGTCCAGCCTGACCTGGGACACTTCCAGGGATCCAGGGGCAGCCACAGCTTCTCTGGGAAACCTCCCCACCCTCCCCACCCTCCCAGGGAGGGCTCGTGGCTGACGTCTCTAACTCTGCTAAAACACACTGCATGCTGGGGGGGATGGCTTTGCTCCTCTAGGAATTGTTTCTGACAGAGCACCCAGATGCTGAAGGGTGGAATAAAAGGCACATGAGGTGTCTGGGCACTGCTCTGTTCCTTTAAACAGCTGTGAGTATGAACTCAGGGGTCTGTCTCTCTCTTTGAACACAAATAACTGTTCATTCTAGGGAAAAGCTAACCCAGCTTTCACAAGCAGTGCCACCAGAGTGACCTTGCATGCCTTACAGAATGGAAGTTAATTTTTTTTCCCCCTTTGTTTTTAGTTCACCTTGTTGATATCTGGAATATGATTGAAGCCTTCCGAGATAATGGCCTTAACACTTTGGATCATAACACAGAGCTCAACGTGTCCCGGCTAGAAACAATCATTTCATCCATCTACTACCAGCTAAACAAACGCCTTCCTTCTACTCACCAGATCAGTGTAGAGCAATCCATCAGCCTCCTCCTCAACTTCATGGTAGCAGCATATGACAGGCTAGTACCTGCTCCAGCTGTATCCTTGCTCTGGTTTGCCCCCCCAGGCTCTGGCAGCGGGGTGGGTGCCGCGGCTCAGGGCGAGGGGCCGTGTGTGCCACACGCGTGGCTTTGGGGGCACAGCGGTGCCCACGGGCACTGGCGGTGCCACAGCAGCACGGCTGGGCCTCAGACCTCGCCTCCTGAAGTGATTCAGAGCCCCGTGGGACTGGTGGGAGCCGTGGGCTGAGCTGGGTGTGCGGTGACACCGTGAGCCAGTGGTTTAGCGCTGGTGTGAGGAGTGAATGTGTTCTGTGGAAAATTGCTCCAAAGGGCCCTTTCCTGCTGCTGCCTTGTCTGGACAGTCAGTTTGGGTCCCCTTCCAGTGTGCTGGGAGCCCATAAAGGCCACTTCCCATCTCCTGGCTGGGAGCAGCTGGATTTCTTGCTCAGGGTTCTCTCCAGACCTTTCCTCGTGTCCGATTTACGAGCTCCTTTCACAGCCTGTTCCTGCAGGGTTTGCTTTGCTGATCTGGGGTGGCTGTGCCTCTGTGGGCTCTGCAGGTCCTTCCCTGTGGTTGGCACTTCTTACTTTTGCTCTTCTTGTTTTCAGCATCAGCTGTTACTTCAGTGGGATCTGTCTTCTGCTGTTGCCCCAGTGAGGGGTTTTACCCAGGACAGTCCCCAGCAATGAACGTGCCAAATAGTTGTTCTGTTTGTGGTGTCCAGGCTTTGATCCTTTCCTAATGTGACAACTTACTGCCACTAAACAGAAGCTGGGCTTGTCCCTCAAAAAGCCCCAGACCTCAGAACAGTCCCTGTCCCACTGAGGGTGGATTAAACCAGCACAGAGCTCAGAGCAGGGACACTGGGACAGCAGAACCAAGAGGGGCTTTTCTGATCTGATTTGGCCTTAGTTGGGAGACCAAGTTGTGAGGGTTGGCTGAGGGTTTAGTTATTTTCAGATCACACCAGAAAACATAGACTTTAAAACCAGGAATGGTCACGTTCTGGGGAGCTGCCTCAAAAGATCAAGGCTTTAGTTACAGACAGGTTTTGTCCCCCACTTTTCCCC